CAAAAAGAAAAAAGTGACTAAAACTAAAGATTTTAAGATGTATTCTACCTACTTAACATTTCTATTTAAAATTTTATTTATAGGGATGTGTTTGCAAGTCACTATTTTTTTTCCTTCCTTTGGTAAGTAACTTATCATAAGCACTATGGAGGGAATCAGTGGTGTATGAGACAAGAATCCTGTTCTCTACAAACTTGTACAGTCAATAGTTAAATCCAAAAGTTCTTCATCTTTTTTAAAACTTTTCCTTTGCTTACAGAAACCCAGAACATTCCAAACTAGTGATGTTTGTCCAGACAGAAATGAGAGGAAAATTGTCCCCATCAATAATTGAAAAAACCATGCCTTCCAACTTAGTAAGTTTCATCCTCAATGCAAAAGATGGAATAAAGGCACAGAAAACTTCATCAAGACGTGGATTTCATCCTAATACTCTTTCATCATTCCAAAACAAGAAATGAGGTCTTGCTGCTATGAAATAATGTGCAACAGTTATTGCAGTTTACTTGTGAGTCAACATGCATAAATACAATTAAACTATTCTAGACAGTACTCTTGTCCAAATTACTGAAGATACTTTGTGAAAATAAGAACTCATAGTTGTACAAGAAAACAGCATTAAATAGTTTTTAATCTCATATGAGAATGATGTTAAATAACAAATGTTATTAATACACTTTTACCTTTTGCTTTTGCCCCTGGAAAATGCTCTGTATAAGAATCAATAAGAAAGCAGATGTAGTCAGAAATCAGCTTTAAAGATTAAGGTACATTTTAAATTGTTTTTCTTTCACATACTGTTTAAATTGAGAATTATAGGGAATATGAACATAAAAACTGAAAAGAATTCCACTAGAATGTATGACCAATGACATTAAGAATTTAAAATTGAATTGAGTCACGAATCAATTTCTGGTTGTGGCCAAGATATAGTAGCCCGTTTCTCCAAAGTCTTTCCTCTTACAACTTAAAAACCCTGCACATAACACAGCAAACAAGCATAGGGAAAACTCTAGCATAGGTGAAAAGAATGCAGCAAATTGTCTAGGGACCTTGAAACTTGAGGAATGACATTCAGTAGGTTCTCTGGGTTTACTTATTGCTGCCCGTATATCCCAGACAGGGCACTGCAGAAGACTCCATATAGGAACCATCAAAAGGCATACAAACAAAACAAAACAAAAAGCTCC